TTTTGTCCTTTAAATGTGTAAGTAGTGTATTCTAAACAAAAAACTAATCTCATCCCATTTCTTTCTTTTCAGTCTAATGTATATCAAACAGAGAATCTTTGCAGCGCGTGGGAAAAATCTGTTTCTGCAGCATGCTGTTAACCGTCATCTCCTACCCCATGGTGGTGGTTTCAGGCATGGAAAACAACTTTATAGAAATAATCCATCTTCTTCCTGATGCTCGTGTTTGCTTTTGATGCTCGTAAAGAGGCATCAGTGTTAATTACAGCCTGTTTCATAATCGTCTAAAAACGCCTCGCAGGAGCTTTAAATTGATGATTCAGTAATTGAATGGTCACTGGATGAAATGGCTGTCTGATGATAAAAAAAATATTCACAAATACAGAGTTCACCTAAACAGAAATGAACTTTTTTGTCGAGTGGGACTTTTTTAAGTGTCTTTGGTACATCCCCTGTACAGCGGAAGAAAGCTTAGTTTTTGTTCTTCTTAAAACATAAGGCCAAGCTGATTCCAAGACCTTGTGCAGTCCCACCAACCATAACTATACCTCTATGGTTTATTCTGCATCAGTTATATGTTGGATTACAATCTTATTAAACTGATAAAAAACCATCTGCCTTTAGTTATCTCATGTTTAGATTGTTTGTATGCATAAACTTCAGCTCTTTCTTTATGTCCTACACTGTCACCCTCAACTGTTTCATACATGCAGTGCACTTGATCTGGTCCTTAGCCAGACAAGCCGATGTCATTAATTGCTACATTTGCTAAATTTTACATCTATTAAGACAAAATATACAGTGAATCGTCACATTGTCTCTTAATAAATGAAAAGTCTGCTGTAATAGATGAAAACAGGTTTTAATATGTGAGCTTTGACTGTGTTGAATACCTGCAGCAGATATGTGTGTATCTTTGCACTGGCTGTTCCTGCAGTGTGTGTCGCGTGTGCACGCTCCCCGTTTGACAAAAAAAACAAACGGAGAGCATGTGGGGCTTTAACTTCAACTTTTGGAACAGACACAGCGCAGTACAACAGGGCTTATGTTATAATAAGGCTCATTTTACAGCAACAGAATACAGCAGATATACTGTGATCTGTTATACAATTAGTTAAAAGAGTTATATATTATTATTAGTATTATTTGCATCGCAATAATGAGTCACCATTATTCTATTTGTCACATTATCGTAGCTGTAACTGATGATTCTTGCTATTGTTATGCCTCCCTTCGTCCGTCTCTTTCTTTTTGTACTGTCACTTTAAACTCTTTCAGTTCTACACTGCACCTGTTGTTCCAGATACTATTCATGTGTTGACATCCATCTCTATTTATCAAACGGACCAACTCTATTGTAACCCATGTTGACCATATGAAAAATATTCAATATAATGTTGACTTTAATTTCTGACTTTCACTTTGACATTGTGAAGGTCTAAAGGCAGAAAATGCAAAACACTGAGGTTATCCTTCAGTAGAGTGTAATAGAATAATAAGTCAGAAGAAAAGAGGGATTAGCCTTCTCATGTCTGGTCTATAAAGATAGATTTTAAAAAATGAGTGAAAGTTACTATAGTCAATACTCCAACTGCTATGGTATTTCGACGCATGGCACGTGGCCCCCTGGAGTTTCCTTCATAAGTGGTGGCTACTGGCGACCTCATCAGCCTGTGACGTTACAAGCAGCATGATGACCTACATCAACATCAGCACTCATGAATATTCAGGCCCCCTCGGGTTTGGCATGGCTGGTGTGAACGACTGGTATCAGGCTAAGTGCCATAACAACATCAAATGCAAATCACATATTAACATTAAATTCATTTTCTGCTGCAGACATTGAGTCATACCACCCACAAAGCGAGCTGACACATTACGCCATTTGGTTAATCATCAACGGAGACAAAAGAAGCTGATCATTCATTTGCAACTGAAAAAAATCCAACACAAAATAACCAATGGGCAGATATTCAGACACATCAGCCTGATTCTTAACAGTCAGTTTTTCCTTTGTTACAATGAACCCTGGTGACAACCTTGTGAGTCCTTCAATTTCACACTATTTCAGGTCTTATTTGCTGCAAAAACAAATCATATATTCAGTGTTTTTTTTTAAAGTGATTTGCATTCTGTAGGGTTTATCATGCTCCATGCATGTCATAGGTTCAATTAGTTTTCGTTATGGTTTTTAATTTTGTTGTCAATGTAATCGTCAAAGAACAAATCATTTTTGTGTTATGATAACCAGAGTTTTTTTTACATTATTTTATGACATCCAAGTCCAATCCACATCCTCTGTAAATACTACAACCATCTACTTCTTGTTAATGTAGCAACCTGATCCATAACAACATTTATCTCAGTACCTCTGCACTCTCCATTGCACTATTGTTGTTGTGTTTTATTTATTTAAACTGTTTAATACATACTTGTATCCATAGGGTTGTATAAAGTTGTTTTTATTAATAGTGTTGCTTGTGCTTCCCCTGTCTGACTTACCCTCAAGTGTAGTATCAATTTGTTGTTCTGTAAACTGAGAGTCATTTAGGACTGATGTTGAATTCTGGTGTGTGCCCTCATATAAACCTAATTCTTCTTCTTTGTTTTTAAACACAGAAACAAAGTAATCAGAACGGATCTTCACTGGGATTGATTTCTTAACACAAGCAAACAAGTCCTCCAAGTAGGATCTCAAATATTTTCTTTAGCTTCCAAAATGTTACAAATCGTTAATTGACGTTAGATCAGATTATTATAACTGATTCATGGTTAGAAGGTAGAAAACCTACTTGGTTAGCTTTTTGGGTTATATGTATGACTTTATTATTAAAGGGTCTCGCATGGTCATGGTCACAATAATGAACATGTGGTTAATGTGTGGGTTGTGTTAAAAAAGAAAATCTGTCTGCTGGAAATCCTGCGAGGCCAAAGTTTGGTCAGCTAGCCTTAGACAGGTTTCTCCTAAATGACCTTCAGTGTAAAATCTTGGGGTCATTTACTGGAACAGCTTGTTGTGTTTTTGTTCTTGTCCCCACAAGCAAATTTAAATGTAAAAAAAAAAATGGCTTGGTGTTGGGGCGCTGCAGTTATATCATGCAGCCCATGTACACAGGCTCTATAGTCCTCGAGGCAGGCGGCCCGGGATGATCCCGACCTTCTGCACTTTGCTGCATGTCAATCACCACTCTCTCACCTCGTCTTCCTACACTATCCACTGTCCTCCTGTATAAAAAAACAAAAAAAACAATCCCCCACCAAAAAACCCAAATTGATTGGTGGCCAACACATTATGGCTTTTCAAAGTATCGATCTGGTATTTATTTTCTCACAAGTTGAATTATTTAGTTTGAGGCAGGGGAACCCCTTTAACCCTCAGAAAAAAAATATAAAACTGTAAAATGTGGTTGCTTATTAAAGCAGGATGAAATGTTATTTTCTTCAGAAAAGACTTGATACGCATGAGAAAAGAGATCAGATGTAAGACTTCATCCACACGGGGTGCCAAACTGAATGTTTCTCACAGGAGCTTTAAAATGGAAAATGGAAAATGAAAAATGCGGCCATAACACTGTTTTTTTTCCCTCTCAGTTTGCATCTTCCCCTTTAAGGAGCATTTCTCTGTGGATAGCCGAAGTCAGCACATGGGGATTGACCGACCAACATTTCAGCCTCCAAACAAGAGGCCAAGCTGTCACCCTCAATAAACATCAGAAAGAGAAAGAAGTAAAGCCATTAGCAGTTTGTAGCACACCCAGTTTGTGTCAATTAGACCAGAGGCATCTCCACATGCTACATATCTATTTATTTATTTCGTTTTTTATTATGTAACGCCAAAGTGACAATATCAGCCATTTATCTCCATAGTTTATTTTCTTACAGATGTAGTGTCTGCTGAAAGGATTTCCTGATTGGTCATCCTGTAGCCGGGGTAAGTTAGGCCACTGAGTGTGCATGAGGTAGCAGGCAGGAAGTTTGGAGGGCCATTTAGATAAGCAGGAGTGTCACCGAGAGAAGGACAGCGGCAGCTAAAGGGGGATGCATGTGCCACGCTGACACCTGGTGCTCCAGATGACAGCTCTGAGGCCAGATGGACCGTGTTACATGCACACACATTAGCACAAACATACACAAACACATACTGTAGGCATATTCATATTTGAAAGATTGCCTAACACACACACACACACACACACACTGACACCCACACTTTTTTAATGTCTTTATGATTGCAGCATATGTAGAGGCACATGTGACCAAACAAGACATGCTCTACAAAAGCTCAATGCATAAAAATCTAAACTGTCACATGTTCAAGCTAGTGCATTAGTCTTCTAGCCGAAGGAACAGTGATTGAATGGTTATGGTGGACAGATTAAGGAGACCCCAAGGTGCACTGCTTACCCTGCACATAACCACCACACTCCTCACCACCCCTCATGTCCCTGCATGTGACGCCATCATCCCGCCTTTGCTGTTAGTTTTAAACGGCAATGACTTTCATGTATGATCCAGAGATTTTCTTTATGCTTTCAGATGTGAAGCTTACTGTAAACGTGTCTGTCGAACTGTCGATTGACGTAAAATTTTAGATCTCAAACTTTAGGCAAATTTGTCTGGTTTATCCTAATATACACAAATATCGATAGTTTCATGTTGAAGCTTTATTAAAACTCTTATTAAATCCAATTGATTGATGGAACCCAAAAGAATGGCCCATCATTACCACCACTGTCTTAGCACAAGAGGTTTCTATTCAAGTCAAATAATCATTTTTCTAGGTCTTCAAATTTTTGAATGTTATTTCTTTCATGGTTGAGGCATTGAGTTGTTTCCAGCAGTATAAAATTCAATCACCCATTTCCTTGTCAAGTACAAATCATTTTGGTTTGAATAGTAGACTTCTAACCTAAATGTGTGCTTACACCTGCCTTTAGCTGCAACATAATTATAAGGACACATTTGTTAAGTAAGGTACAGCATAACTACCTCCATCTTACCTCCAGAGCAGCAGAGGGCTTCTTCTTCAGTTCCTCACATTTGCGGAACTTGCAGATCTGATGGCCCGTCTTGCGATTCCGGCAGCTGCTGCATTGCTCGCAGTTAATCCGCCGTCGACAAGGTGGGCACATGCCGCAACGTTTTCGCTTCTTTTTCCCGGAGTTGATAGCGGAGGCCAGCTCGCTCTGTGCCGGGTACTCGGCCAGGCCGGCCATGTGCAGTGCGCTGTCCGCCAGAAACACTCCGGCCGGCGTCATGATGAAAAGACCCGGGTTGAAAGGGAAACCACCCCCTACTCCATATGGGAAGTCAATGGGACCACCTACGGCGTCCGTGACAGACGTACCCTCCAAGTCGCTAGCCCCCGAGCCTGCATCTCCTCCGCCAACTCCTACTCCCATGCCCCCGGGAAGGAGCATGTGCTCCATACCAGCCCGCTTCAACAACGCTGCCGCCTGAGCAAAGTGCAGCAGGCCGTTCTGTCCCTCCAGAACCTGTTCAAGGGTTCGGTCCAACTTGGCTGCTGTCAGTGCAGAGACGGTTGGCTGGGGCTGCGGGACGGGCTGAGGCTTGGCCGAGTGGCTCTTCGCCTCATTATTGTTTGTGTGTCCGTTGGTGTTGGCCGAGGAGACGGCTGTGTACTGGGAGAGGGTGCGTGAGTTCTTAAGGCTCTTACTGAGGGGCTCACTGATGATGCCGCTGCGGTTCCTGCGTTCTATGGCAGGAGAGTGGTGTTTGCTACTACTCCGCTCCTGGTCGTCTGTCCGACCCCCCTCCGACGGCTCGCTAGACATGGTCCAGAGCGTATGTGCCTGGGTTGGGGATGAGGGTGGAAAGGGGGCAGGGGTGAGCGAGGAGGGGGAGCAAAGACCTGTTCCTGGTCCGTGTCCTGCCCTGGTGGAGAGTGGTGCTTCACCTCAATGGATGAATCTGGAAGCCGACAACAGGCAGGCCCCAAAGCCCTCTGCCCCACTACAGCTCAGGCCTCATCCACGCTCTCCAATGGGCCATCTGGAAACTTCACATAGAGACAAGAGAGGTGAATTACTCTTCAATGATCACTTCACCAAAATAGTAAGGCATTCAAACATGGGAGAAGAACTAGAACTAGGATAGCGCTAACAGACACAAGTTATGATCAGAGCACATCATCTTTTTGGATTATTCAGACTTAAACATCCAAAACTTAAGTGGAAAACATTTAGGTGTATTTGGCTACATGTATCCATGGTGTCACATTAACTCTGTTAAGACTTTTTTGAAGCAAAATATCTGGATCTTTAGTTGAAGTGCTCCACTGTCTTGTCCAACTAGTTGCTAGCTATGTTTTGTTTATGCTGATATTGAACTGTTTTAGAGATTTTCAATGGAAAAAGCTGACTTCTACGTCTAAAAAATACAATAATAGTGAGTCCAGTAAGCTGTTAGTTCCATAAAGCCCAGCAGAGCTGTACGTTTGGTAGATAGTTATAATGTAGGTTCAACCTTATGAGTGGACCCTGTCACATGGGCTATGTTAATTTGTTCTTACTTTAACGAATTTGGGTTCAGATTCCTGTTGAAAACCGACATTATCAGAGCCAATTCCTGACCCAGGCTGAATAATGAGCTCATGACTTGACAAATCATGAATAACAATATGTTGCACAATGAAATGAAAAGGGATTTTGTTGTCAGTTAAACTTTTCTCCAACACCTGGGGCTGAAAGTTGTACTACATTGATACATTAGGAGTTATGACACTCATAGCTAGGAAGGAATTAGGGACCACATATTATTGAAACCCTTTGGCAATCATCGTCCATCACTGTTTGATAGGCGTTATATGCCTGTGGGAACGAATTTTGATATCTCTGTAATTTCAGCGAAGCCAGCAGTTAGTGTTGAACAACTTCCAGACAGTGTGACATCTGTAACGTAAATTCTTGGTTTATAACATCCCGGAGCCCGTTCATCTGTTGAGTCTCAGTTCAGTTCAACAGTTGGTTACAAGTTACACAGCAGCTTGCCTTCAGTTTACTTTATGGGTATGAACCTGAGAAAAAAATAAACGATTTTCTATTCACGTAATTGCAATTAATTGGGTTTAAGTTAGCGGAAATATGAATACATTATGAAGCAGATTTGTAAAAAGTAAATATGCAAGCTTTGTCAGGTCTGTCGTCAAGAGGAAAAACAAAATAAAAAAATGAATGTTATGTTTGTTTGCTGAATTGAGGTCAGATTGATCACTTCTGATGCGTTTCAGGTAGTCGGGAAATCTAAACGCTGATTGGCTCTAACAAGACACAGCGTCAAGCAGATTTGTTGCTCAAGTTGAAATGATTGCTCTATGATGGATTGTCAGCAAATATCTGTAAAGAGATTAAAGAATTACTGTTAGATAACTGCTGATTGAAGATGGTATGTCATTAGCTCAGATAACGTTGAGCCTCGTTTTTTGCCGTCCACACGGGCTGTTTCTCCTGAATACATCAAAGCCTGCTGACACGTAATTGGTCAATAGTGCTGAAACTACAAATATTCTACAAATGGTCAAATCTTTTTACCAACTTTTGATTTCAATGTCTCGCCTTATTTGTCAATCAACTATTTGTCTTAAAGGTAGTTTTTGTCTTAGAACTTTTAAAGACAAAGATGCATCCATCCAGCAGCTTTTAGCGCAAGAATCTTGTGACTGCTCATCTAGGAGAAGAAAAACTCTCCTGCGATTCCCCTGACCTGTCCGTGTTCACAAACAAGCCCACCACCTCCCACAGAATCGCTGAGGAAATGGCCGGGCCAGTCCTTATAAGGGAAACAAAGGGAGAGGGAGGGGAGGAGGATGGAGAGGGGTGTCTGTGCAGTGTGTGGAAATTGGAAGGCCAGAATTAGTGGGAGGTAAAGCTTCAAAGGCAAGAGCACAGCCCCCACATTCTCACCAGCTCAGGGGGATGTGGCGCCAGCGAACCAGAGCCAGCTCCGCAGCCCCTCAGCCCTGTAGTTTCAGTTTCTCCTGCTGCAGCACTGACCAGGGTCCGGTTTCCCTAAATCATCTTAGACTCACTGCATCTCCACTCAGTTGAGGTTGAATGTAAAGCAGCCATGCAAATCAGGAGTGAAGCATGAGGAGGTTTGTGGTCTTGTGAAACATCAGACGAAAGTTCTATTTATTGGTCAACTATGAATATTGTAATGTTGTTTAAAAGGGAGATTTCAATTTCATTTGGTCTCAATTGGATTCCACTGCAGCTTTGCACAGAAGTTAATCTGGATATCTACTTGTGTCACAACACAGTTTCTTGATAAATCATAGCCTGAGAGAATACCATGCTCTGATCCAACTGCTTCACCAATGCCCTGAGTACAGTGGGGGCATGACTTGAGTATTTCACATAATAAATTAAATGGAGCTTCATCAATAGCTGGAATAAAGTACCATGTCAGCTAGTAAGTGACAAAGTTGTCAATCAAAGCCCATGAAAACAGTAATCATGATTATTTTGTTTGCAGAAGCTGACCTGCTGACACAGATATTTATTTGAACTGCTTATCTTTATAACGTGTTGATGATCTGACAGGAGGCTTAATTTAGACTAAATATATTTAAAGTAAATACTCAAACTTATTGATTAGTACTCAGTCAGTAATGTGACTGGATAGAAGCTTTGAACCATAGACCATTTAAAAAGATGGACGACATAACGGCTCCTTAAAAGTGAAGCCAAAGTATTTGGAGCTCCCTCTACTGACTGGCTGCAGACTGCAGGTCATAAGCATCATGTTAACTGCAGGTGACAGCCTCAGGTTTTGAAAAATGACGCCAAAAATGACTGCAGTTGTTTGATTGTCCACTTAAGCCCCAGAGGTCACATACACACATTTTTGGAGCAGACATACGCATGTTTAGAATGAATTTGATCTGAACGGCTCTTTCTTTATCTGCACCCAGTGTACAATGTTTTTTTTTTTGGATGTGATGAAGGGTAAGAGTTATTCATAATTAATGACGTCGCTGATCTGACTGATGAGTGGGCGCTTCGCAGCAGTTTGTAAGGAGGTTTAAGGCCCTTCTCAGCTCCAGCTCTCTGCCTGTTTCTAGGTTGACTGAAAGAACGTTTGAGACAGCATTATCAACATGGCAACCGCCATCGATGGGCTTAAACAGTCCGCTGTGGAAACCAATGGGTGATGTCACTGAAACTACTTTAGAAATTAACCCATGGACACTGTGTTTCAGACAAAGGCAAGCTATTCAGACTAAATTAGTATTTTGAACCAGGCAGTAAACATGTTTGTTTTTTTTGCGGTAAAAATTGGCATTTTTAGAATGGGTGTGTTTGGGACTTCTGTGGCTTTTGCAGACAGATTCAACAGACACTCGATGAACTTCAGGTTTTTTGCACTTCCGAATTGTCTTCATTTTTCAACAGCTGAGGTTGCTGCTTAGAAGAAGCGAACAACGGGAAGAGGAGGATACACTTCATCTATTTTATATACAGTCAATGCTTTGAACCCAGTAACCAGCAGATGTATAACAAAGGATTATCTCTAGGTTTGAATCACCTTGCAGGTATCATAGCAGATTAGCGTGGTACGTTCTGAAGCTTCAGAGTCTCTAACTCAATTTTGACTGTTTATACATAATAAAGACTGCAGCAGATCCAACAGAGCAGCTTCAAGCGGCAATCGTAAAGTTTAATTTTTCAAAACATCTTTTGCTCAAACAGCTATTCCTGTGAAAGGAGCAAAATCATGGAACTCGCTACCTGATCACTTGAAACTTGCCACCAAAATCTGGGTTAGTTCAGCAACAAACTGTCTCATTTTTTTGTATCTATATTGTTGTAATTACTGTACCCAGTTTACCCTTTCTTTTTCCTTTATAACTGTTTTAATCTTTTATTTACATAAAAAGCCCTTGTAGGGACGAGTGTCACAAATTAGCAACCGCTACAAACACTATGATACTTGCATTGGATGGCTGTTTTCAGTTCGTCTATGTATATTGTATCTGTCCCTATCAAATAAACCATTAATTAATTAATTAATAAGTTATAAGTATATGAACTAAACATGCTCTGTTTAGGTTTGGTATCTACAGTTTGTAAGTATACAGTTTGATTTCATGTATTTGTTTATATGCGTGCAGGCTCTTTTTTTGTTTACTTTGCCTTATTTTATAGTATAAAATAATGTAATTGCAGTATAACATAGCAGATATAGCTAAATTATATTGCTTCTGACATAAACTGTATTGGTTTGATTATTTCATGAAATGTTATTAATTGACTAATGACAGGATTTTTGTTTGTTCAGTTTCACTTGTCTTGGAGCTTGGAGTGTGAAGTGTGAGGCTTTGAGTGAGAACACTTAAGTCATGAAGACATTTTAAGTGTATTGGAGATGTTAATCTGTGCTTTGTTTATGCAAAAAAAAGGAGCAATGAATGAGATAACATCATTAAAAAACTATGTTAAAGTAAACAGTTATCATATGAAACACACTTACATGTGCTAAAACTGCTGCACCTGACCACAGTTGTTGCATTAGTCAGCACTTATATTATTCTCACATACATCCCTTCTCTGCTGCATGTGTTTACATGTTCCCGCCATCCTCCTGACCTATCAGTCACACTCTCTCCATCTTCATCAACCTTGAGCGCAGCATATAGTCATTGGATAATCACCCTCCTCGACTCGCAGCGTCATGGCTCTTCAGATCCCCTCACCACATCATTTACAGATGGGTTTATGTCCTCATGTGAACTGTCTCCTGCACCCCAGCTGCCTCTGAGTGTCAGTGTCATGCTGCTGATTTAGTATTATTTGGTCAATGAAGCATATTTACTCGATTGTTGGTGATATAACAGACTTGATGTAACGATTATATATATTAAAACATTACACTTGATGGTTTGGTGACAGTCTGTAATTAGACAACAATGACTGTCATTAATTAAAGCTGCTTTAGAAACATATGTTTCACCTTACTCAGCATAAAGAGAACAAAATATAATCACTTCCTTTTTTACCTGAGTCTTTCTCTATTTGTTTTTTTGCCTCCACAGGACAAAGATAAATCTCAGGGTATGAGTGGTCCAAAAGTTCAATCGAGGCCAACAACTATGAGTGGGATTTTTTTTCTCACAGTTCCACCAATGAGTGAGCTTGAACCTGCAATCCAAGCATCTGCAAAATCAAACTGATTGTCTCGTTTTGGCGATTTCCAAACAAAAGGAACAGTACATGTTTTTGCATTGAACTTTCAAAGAGTGTAAGATATCTCCATTATGAGCAAAACTGAACTTTTGAACCCTTAAGCCAGAGCGCTGGACAACTGCTCACATAATGTCATAATATCATCAGATGCAGGTAACTTAATATGATTATAAATGTTCTAGTTCATCCAGTTAAGACACCATGTGAAAATCCTGACACTAATTTAAACGTGTTGTGTTAAATCAGCAGAGTGATGTCAGCTCAGTGTCTGATCTGACACTTCCCACAGCTGCTCATCTGCAGGATCAGAGATGTTAGGATGTGGTTGACAAAAAAAATGCCACTTAAGTTTAAAAAATGCAATGACATGGACAATTTGTTTCTGATGTTTAATTTTGATACATCAACTCAAACTTATTTTTGAGACCTGGTTTATTAGCGTATGGCTGCTGCCTCATTGAGCATGTATATCAAATCTTTTTTTGCAAAAAGCCTCCTGAAATGCAAATTGAAGGGAGCCCACTTTTTCCAGATAGGGTGTCATGTGAGTGTAAAATGTGGTGATTTAATCCAGATATTCCAGCTTTTCAGAATACTGTGTTGATGCTTTCAGAGGTAGATTCTGCTGTCTCTGCAACATGGCCACTATCAAACAGACATACAGTAAAAAAGAGATATGTCTAATAATTAACATGAAACTTGCAACTTGGAATCAGTGACCGAAGACTAAAACTCAGTTTCAAACTCCTACGTGTGGAATTCATGTTCATTTGTCGAGAGTTAGAAGCTACCGCCATGAGACCGTTAGTTTAGCTTAGCATGACGATTGGAAACAAGGTGGAACAGAAGGCCTCACTCTGCCAAACGATTAAGAAAAAAATCAGCCTGTCAAACTTCTAAAGGTAATTCACGAATAGTCAGGCTATATCCTGATTGTTTTCCATTCCAAAAAGTGACATTATAGATCATAAACTCTTCTTTCAAGTAGGCCGACAACATGAGAGATAATATAAGGTAGGCTACACATCATATCATTTTTCTGTAACATGGTTTCTGTCCTTAAAGTGAGTTCTTATCACACTGATCTACATACAAGTGTTCACTATTCTGAGATTTTAATTGTTTTTATGCTATAAAAAGGATTCAAAAGCCACGATTACAGTCAATGTTTGAGAACAACAATTTATCAAGGGGATCTGTTGCCAAGCAACCATGTAGCTATAAAGTCACTGGTTCTAGCTAAGAAACAAAACTCTGTGTTGCCATTTAGCTTGCTGCTAGCAATTGCTTCCAACTTCACACTATTTCATGATGTTATAAAAGGTGATTTACTGTGTAAGTCCGACTTTAAAATACAGTTTAGTCCCATTGAAATCTTACTAAGTCGAAAAAATCTCGTAGTCTGATTAACACACTTAGAAAATGCAATCGGGGCTCAATTTACCCTGGCATGTAAACACCTTAATGGGTCCCAAATTGGCCTATTGGTTCTACGGGCCGGGCCAGAAGTCATACAGCATAAATGTGCAGAAGAAAGCCAGGAAGTAAACAAGACGACGGTATCTACATGCCGAATAATGGAGCGAGATCAAACCTTTGGACAGACAAGGAGATACAGTATATGTTGTGTCAGCTGAAGGAGTTAAACCTGCTGAAGTATAGGACTGAAGGAAAACGTGGAAAGGTGATTCAAAGAATTGGTATATGACATATAAGTCTACTTGTAAAAGTCATATTTTTACATAAAGGGGGCATATCGCCACCTGCTGTAGTAGTACAAACTTCTGTCACTGGTACAATGGTACTGGGCAGTAGTCCAATTAAACGACCTAATCAAGCTATAACTGGAGCCCAACTTAACTGTGCATGTACAAATACAACAGTATGTGTGTGGTATTACCAAGAGATCTGTTAAACATAATTCAATGTGTTTCCTAAATATGGTTAGTGTATTCTGTACACCTTGGAATAGCCATAACACCTGAAGAGTGTGTCATTATAAATTTGTCAGAGGTTCAGAATCTGAATCATTGACTACATGTGGTGTATAAGAACCAAACAGGGGGTTTCATTTTGTGTCGAACATTTACTAAAACTTCAAACTGAAATGATTGGTGAATGAAGTAGTACTTCAATAAATTATACTGTACTCACTCACCAATTCAGCTGATGAGAGCTTCCTGACAGCCACAGTGCTGCTGGGTGAACGTTGTCAGCAGTGTGATACTTGTATGAACAGCTCATTTAACATTCACACGCAGCTCTCAGCTTGTACTAACTCTAAACTGTATCAGCTTCAGTAGTGTATATATTCCTTTAGATTGAAATGTAATTTAAATTCATCTTTGACAGTAAGTGACTTTGTACCAGCTAGGATACTAAAGGAGGTGAATGTCAGTTAACGATAGTGACAGCTGACTGATGGATGAGTAGTGGGGCTCTTTCAGTGGATCAATATGTGATGGAGTAACGCCTTTGGGATCACATGTGTTTGTAGGCTGGTTCCTTTTGTTTTGAAATGCTAGACGTACATTTTACTCAAAACAAAAATAAAAAAAATAAAAAAACATGAGAAAAACAATGTCTAACCTGAATGGGGAATGTTTTTCTATTACTGGCAAAAATATAATCACAAATTGATTTGGTCGTCACGGTAACTAGGTAGTTTCTGGACAATTATCCTCCCTTCCCTCCACTGACGTCACAGCACGCGAAGGTGGCCAGGTAATGGTAATCAGCGTTTTAAACAGGAGGTGAGAAAATGTTTCCTTCAGTGGTTGTGAGGCATTTGGTCCATCACGAACTCCGGAGCAGCTGACTGACTGCACCTCAGGAGACGCGAGAATACTTAATGCATTAGTTCAGGCGATGCACGATGCAAGTACACCCCCCCCCCCCCACCACCACCCACCCCTTCCTCTTTAGTCGACTCGCCCCCCCTCCCCTTCAGTCGCGCTGTCTGCGGACCTGTCTACTGGCGAGCTTCTCTATTCCTCCAACCTCCTGTGCACACTGACTCTCTCTCACACACACACACAGGAAGTAAAAACAAAAAAAACAAAAAAACTGGTGACAATAATTAGACTCAATGATTCATCCATTGTCCACAACCTGCTGCGTCTTATTCTGACTAATTGGGACTATACGCACACAAAAAGTTAGAGAAAAACAGCCACGCCGGGCATACAGTGACTTCAATTATTCGCAAACATATGGAGCAGTTGGAGCTGAGACACAGAGGGAGGGCTGCAGCCGGGGGGTTGACTGTAAATCCGGGAAGCGCGTTGAGAATAGCCTACCTGAGGAACTTTCCAAAAAATGTGCCCACATGAAAGACATGGCCAAGACAAAACCGGAAGAAAATGACATTTGGAAATGCACAAATCCGTTATTTATTTTTCTTTTTTTTTCCCTTTTCTTAACTCGAGTCGATCGCTGAGAGATCCATGAACTTGTCTTCTTTTGATTGAAACAAAAGTTCAACGTAAATGCTCACGATCAGTAAGGGGTCTGTTGTCAATTGTAGGCTCGATTCGGCTGGCGCGCTGATCGTTTCTTTCACGCGTCAAGTTTAGACGCGCATCATTAACAGCTGATTCACAGAAAAGCGTCAGGCTCGTCCTTCGGCGTGGTACCGATCCGTATCAACGCACTTCAGAAATAAAGCGTTGAATAAATACACAAGGAAACTAATCCAAAAACGTTGCCGACTATTGGAGCTTACATATCTTTACATTTTAAAACCCTGGTTATTAAGCTATTTTATTTTCCAGCTTTTAAATCAGATCCAAATGGGTTTCTTCTGTGCGGATCCGGTGATCTGTGAACACGGTAGCCTATCTGCGGTACCACCACAGAGCTGCAGTCACACATTTGAGGATATAGGTAACAGAACAGCTCCGGTCCCCCCCCCCCCCCCCCCCCCTCCTCCTCCTGCTATAACTTGATCCGATAAGAAGATGACATCCCAACTTTGAGCAGACTTCAACAAAGTATGACCCCCCCCCCCCTCTTCCATCCCACACCTCCTCCATTCCCTTCCATATATCTGCATATTTGCAAACACGGGCCCGATTTATTCGCACCTACCAAAGCAGATCGGAGCAGAGGGGAGGGCTCCCACAGTCCGAGCGGTCCGTCTCTCAGCCTGCCGTGCAGAATGGTGACAAAAAAAAAAAAAAAAAAAGAAAAGAGCAGGAAAAAGAGCGTATTCTCCGAGAACACAATCCTACTGAGTGTCTGCCTGTTGGTGACAAATGTGAAAAGAAAAAAATGATTGCGCGTCAGTTGTGTCGGAAAAAGCCGTACTTTCTCTGAGGCTGAACGCGTGGGTTCCCCCAGCTTTCTCGGTCCTTGCAATCCCACCTCTACATCCCCGCTTGCAGAGAGGAACATGCAAACACATTTCATAGATTTTTGGAGCTTCGCGGAAAAACCGAAGTGGACTTCTGCTGCGCCTCGGCTGTGGCAACAACAGAGGCGAGAGGGCCGTTCAGGACAGCTGAGGGGAGAGAGGCGTTTCACAATGAAAGTATGCCATAATAAACGATGAGTGTGTGAGTTGCCATTGGCTGAGACTTTCTTCAATGATACTGTAGCTCAAATGATGATCATTTACGCACAATACAAAATGAAAAGCATTGACCCGTATGTCATTTTTTTTTTTTTTTTTTTTATAAAGTTTAAGTTACAAACACCTAGGCTACCTGAATGAGCCGTAATGTTTTGGTTGGCTTTTATTTGTGCAGTTATGCTCAATGAAAAATATTGAAGCTATGCAAGTGGAAAATGTTTTCTGCATTTCCGTAAATCTTCAAGTAGATTTTATATTGTGTGTTTTGTATTAAATAGTGGCATCAGTGTGAAAGGAGTGCAGGATGATGAAATCTACTCATTCATCTGACAGAAATCACCCTGGTGGCCGGTCGCTCCTCCTCTCAGCTCAGCCCCTCTCTCTTCTCAGAGTCCACTCCACCTCTTTCCACCGGCCTGTCTGCTGGCAGGCGGCCAACCCAAGTGTGTGGAAATGACACCGCCAGGGCGGCAGAGATTTTCCTTCATTTCTCTCCTTCCCGATCGCAGACTGGCTGACATTGGCTAGAAAGTGGAGCAGCTCGTCAGGGACAATCAATGCGAATCGATCGAGCTGTGCGGTGGAGGCTCCAGAGCTGGAAAATATCGCGGCAGCTGAAGAGAGAGAGAGAGAGAGAGAGAGAGAGAGAGAGAGAGAGAGAGAGAGAGAGAGAGAGTATTCAACCAACTCTGTCAGTAGCCAACAAGCCTCCCAACAAACAAATATGCACTGGCTCTCATAAACATGACACTCACTTAGTAAACAGTTCAGTTGAAATCGACCACAAATGTGTCAACACAGCGTAAATGTAAGAGTAAAATCATTTATAGGGCATTATTTAAATAAAAAATACATCTATTTAAATACATCTGCTTATTGGAAACAGAGCGGCTTCACTTTTTCTCTCAGTTTTTGTTCACTTTTACTTTCCAGCATAAGACAACACTGAAGCAGAAACTTTCAAATAACCTCATGCTCTTTTCAACCAGGAAATACATTGATGTGACATTCTTATGGCTTTTTAAATCATCACACTGCATGATATAGGCAGGGGGTGATTAAGGATAAACTGTAGTGAAGCAGCATCTGTTTTCATTAATTTGATTTTGTGTTCTGTTTAATTTATACCTAAATTAGGGAATATGGAAGGAATTACTATTCATTATGTCCTAAATATGACAAATAGTCTGAATATGATGTATTTTTCATGCCAAGCAAAAATGAATTTCATTCCGCAGATTTGATAAAAGGTGGAAGTCATTTATTGACATGATGGGTTTCTCATTTTTCAGTCTTATGTCTTAAGTTATTGTTTCAGATCCACATTTAATCCTCCCAACGATAGGTTTGGTAAATCTACAGACAGAACTGATCCATGTCTACATGTTATTTTACATTTCACAAGCTTTATCTGAGTCCAGTTTCCTGTGTTCTTAAACCTGTTGAGATTGTAAACATTTACTGTATACTCTGATATCACCAATCGGCTGTACTGATTTAACCAATACCACAGACTTCTCTGATGTCACCACAACCATTCCATATTTGCCTTTTCTACTCACAAAATTCATTGCAGTCTTATATCAGTCCAAAAGCTTTTCTTTGCCAAACTTTAATATTTCACATTTATGTGTATTGAGGGCAGCAGTGCATGGGTTACAAAACATTGACTGTATCAAGAATCAAACTGCTGATCAAGTCCACTTTCATCCTAAACAGATAGTCTCCAGGACAGTCTACATGACGGTCTCTTTAGAAGTGAACTTTTCAGTGATTAGAATTATAATTTTCCGGTGTCATGTGCGTGTGGTGGTTGAATTATAGCCTTAAAGATGAAAAAGTTGATGCTATGCAGCAACAGAAACTAGAGGAAAAACAAACATGTAGCAGGAAATACTTTTCTATGTGAAAAGCAGATCTCAGTTCCCCATGTCCTCCTGTGTGTTCATTGTCTGGCTTCACTTATCTTTTGTTTGTTTGTTTGTTGTTTTTTTGCAAACAGAGCTCTTCAGGCTCTTGTTGGATGACTTGAATCAGACTCATAAGAAGAAGCAACACTGTTTTGGGTGTGAATTCAATCTAACAACACCTTTAAGTGAAATGTTGAGTAGTTGTAATGCTGCAGAGCAGGCTGTGCTTCGCTACCCTCCTTTTTTTTTACTCGCGTATGAGTGAGACCTGAATCGGGTTACTTGGGGAAGATTTGGTGGTTGTGGTTAAATAAGGGTTGAAACAGTGCAAACAATTACAGGGGATGTAACACTGGTGCTAAAGTCAAACACCTGCACCTCAGCCTGCACACACCGGTACTTTCAGCTGCATTAATCATCACACTTGGTGCATTGGCACAATCACTGCTATTAAGTTGCATTTTTTAAATAATAACTGAAAGAGGCAACAAAAGCTTTTACTGTCTTCAATTTAAAACATGTGTGTTGGCATTATTGTTGAACATATGATGTTTCTCAGTGGCCTTTTATTCTTTTGGCAGTTCACTTTGAAGAATTTGGTCAGTCGTGGATAAATCCTGGTATTAATGCAGAATGATTCGACTAATTTGATGATTTGGAAACATCCACGTCATTGATGTCAACTAGATGAACTAATACTTAACTACAACTGCCATTTACACAAAAAGGACCAATGTTTTACAAGCATAAGAGTGCTTATTTAGAGGTGTTTAAAATGATGTTTATTTTTTGCTAAAAGCATGAATAGACTCACACTATGACAAGTCTAACTTCCTGCTACAACGATTTAGCTAAGTCCACCACTATAGTTTAGCACATGAGCATGCTAAACTTAGCTAACTATTATAAATACATTACAGGTGATGACAATGCCACAGAGATACGAGCCAAGCAGCAATTTCTGGGTTTAGACAAATGAAACCAATGCAGTAGTGCAAACAACTGCAATTCCTCAATTGTCCACTTGTGGCTCGCTCCAGAAAAAGAAAAGGAATCCCTATTGTATTAGAGCTCATATTAGCATTTACAGGAGAAACAAACATGTTTACAGCCTGGCACAAAGAATAATAGTTTGTTCGTCAAACTAATTTCTTTATCAATCAAACAATACACAGATGGACTTTTTTTCTAACTCGTTCATTTTGATCAAATTAAGGCTCAGCGTTTAGCATAATGAGGCATAATTAGGGGTGTGACTGATCCGACTGACAGGTGGGCACATACAGCTGTTTGCCAGGAGGCTCGGTTTAACTTTGACTAAATTGTCTTTGAACTGAAACTGTCAGTCTTCTTTCTGTTGTCTTCAATCATCAGTTGAAATATGTTAGTTAAAAGATGAGCTAGATGAGCGTGATGCCCATGATTCAGCGACCAAGACATTCATTCGGCCTTCTAAATTAGCCGGAAGTTAGCTGGAGTCAGTATTTCCAATATGGCGACTGCTATTGTTTGGCTTCTGAAGGCATCTTCAAAAACCAATGGTTGAAGAAACTTTAAAAAGGGAGGATATACTTCTGGTATTGGAAGCATTTTGGTATCATACTGTAGTCATTTTGTAGTAGAGAGTAGTATTGACCAATCATGTTTGAGCAGGCTTTGGTTTGCCTGCAGGAAAAACATCCATGTGTAGAACATAAGAGCTTAAATACATTTTCCTAACTCACTGTCTTTCTTTTAACAATAATCTAACTTTTTCTTTTCTTTTTCTCCTCGAAACTCCTGCCTGCCAAGATTCTATTTGGAGGGTTTACAATCACAAGCACATGGAAGACAAAGACTAGGACTATATGTAAGTTATCTGTGTTCTTTTAGCTACATCTGAAAATCCTCTTGCACCCAGAAAACAGATAAAAGCTGATGCATTCCCCCTATTGCAGACAATGCAACAAATGGCTTTATATGTAAACATTCAAAGCAAATGTGAGAGCAAGCACAAAAACTACCTCACACCATGAGGTATTGTCATCTCCAAGGCTTTGGTTCAAGGGATGCTCTGTCTTTTCCATTTGTTCTTACTATCAGCTGTTAATACTGGGGTACTTGATGGGAGTTTTTTGTTTCTTTCTACATGTTCTATATGTTTCCATTCAGGGTTTAATTTCACAAGCGAACGATGTAAATGAACAGGAATACGTTTGTCTTTGTAGTACTCATCCTGACCACTTTTCTTTGTCTTTGTCTTTGCCTCTTTGACCTTCTAAAGTCCTCTATCCTTTGGATGAGGAGTATTACAATGCAGTCTGCAATCATACATGTCTTTCATAGGTTGAAAAGAGGGTCAGATGGAGAAAGCCTAGGAGAGAAAGAGAGTCATGCATGGATAGATGGGTAGGAGGGAGCAGCAAGCTGTGACTCTTGGACATGTTCTGGTGGGTGCACTGAACCCCGGAGGCTGCAGCCACACTCAGCTCTTTGTTGTTTTCGTTCTGCACAGGGAGGTAGGGTACTTTCCTGAGCTGGGGAGGAGGATTAGCGTTGCACAGCCTCCATCCCCAGCTGCACACATGACCGGCACCGTAGGAAAGCCCCCGTGGACGGCCCAGAAAGAGGTACGTAAGGGATGAAGGGAGCAGGGCGAGACACGAACATCGGTTTTCTCCAATACTGAGGAATGTTGCAAGCCCTGTTAACTCCCCAAATGATCACTGTTACACACTGTGAACATCCCCCTGATTTCTGAGAGACTGTCCTCTTCCTCTGCTAAAGGTTTTGTGCAGTGTCTCTCCCAGCTGAGACATTTACATTACATTCATTTCAACACATCCAAACTTTATCTGCATCATAAAAAAACATTAAGCCATCCCAAAATGAAGCTCTATTTTATTTCTAGGCGAACTCATTTTTAAATAAATATAATACACTGCATTAATTACATTACCAGAATCAGACCACATTATGCCAAACCCAAACAT